TGGCGGGGCCGAAAGGGCCGTGACAGCCTCGGTGGTGGTTCTGAAGGTCCTCGTGGTTCTTCTGCTTTTCTGGGCAAATCAGAAGGCACCGTGCCTTTTCACTCCGTGGTTTTGTTTCACGATAGGTTGAACCTTCTGATACTATAGAAAATGTGAAAGCTAAGATCCAGGATAAGGAAGGTAAGTTCAAAATGCACTTACTGTTCTCTTCTCTGTTGGATTGATGTGTATTTTAACCAGATGTGATTGTGTGCAGCAAGCTATTGTTTTGTTAAAGAATATCATAGTTTACGTTACTCCTTTAATCATGATTTATGTCACCATTAGGCATTCCTCCTGATCAGCAGCGACTGATCTTTGCTGGTAAGCAGCTAGAAGACGGACGCACGCTGTCTGACTACAACATTCAAAAAGTGAGTAGGAAAGGCTGAACAGTGCTGTGGTACCAACTAGCTGGTGCTATCGGAGCAGACTGACCTTTGCTGTTGGGCCTGAGAAATGCTTCAGAGGGATTGAACCAAATTAGTTGATTCAGGGTTGGGTATCACTTCTGACTGGGGACTAGAACTGGCAGTTGCTGTAGCCCCGTCTATAGTTTCAGGTTGGAAGAAAACATTTCTAACAGCTTCCACTTCAGCACATCCCTTCTGTCAGTCCTGGCACATGTGGTGAGCTGCTTTAGGGGGCTAACGTGAAAACTCCTGCTCACTTCTGCCAGATTAACCTGATGGTGAGGCCAGTGAGTGCCACCGGAAAGGAGGAGCAACAAATAGCTGTCAATTTGGCTTAGTTACATCATGAAACTATTCTGCAATTGCAGTTGGAACTGAGAAATGTAGTCACAACAATTTTTACAGTAATTGAACCTTCTGGGATTTGGGATGCAGCAGGCCACTGTTGTCTGGAGCCTCTTCATTTGCAGGCATACTGGCAAAAAAACCTTTCAGAGCTCTCCTAGTTCCCTGGAGCTTGAGATCTACTTAAAAGAAAAAGTAAAGCCTCTTGTCTTGAGAAAGCATTTTGAGGCTATTTATTTCATGTGCTTTACAAATAGGAATCAACTCTTCACCTTGTGCTGAGACTTCGTGGTGGTGCCAAGAAAAGAAAGAAGAAGTCTTACACTACTCCCAAGAAGAACAAGCATAAGAGAAAGAAGGTTAAGCTTGCAGTGCTTAAGTACTACAAGGTACGTAGAACTAACTCTAGGAGAAACTTGAAGACTTAGCTTTCACCAGGAAGGACATGAAGCCTGTAGCTAATCTGCCTGTAGCCAATCTGCCTGTAGCCTGGCATATTTGAAGTCCTCTATTTGCAAACACCCTACCTGTTAAATATAGAAGAGAAACTGACTTGCAGTTGGGCACTTTTGAACTTTGCTTCAAGAAATTTGATGTAGTAACTATGGTGAAAACTATACTCAGTATATCATAGAATTACTAAAGTTGGAAAAGACCTCTAAGATCGAGTCCAGCCGTCAACCCATCACCACTGTGCCTGCTAAACCATGCCCTAAAATGCCACATCTACACACCTTTTGAACACCTCCAGGGATGGTGACTCCACCACTTCCCTGGGCAGACTACAAGAGAAAGAAGGTTAAGCTTGCAGTGCTTAAGTACTACAAGGTACGTAGAACTAACTCTAGGAGAAACTTGAAGACTTAGCTTTCACCAGGAAGGACATGAAGCCTGTAGCTAATCTGCCTGTAGCCAATCTGCCTGTAGCCTGGCATATTTGAAGTCCTCTATTTGCAAACACCCTACCTGTTAAATATAGAAGAGAAACTGACTTGCAGTTGGGCACTTTTGAACTTTGCTTCAAGAAATTTGATGTAGTAACTATGGTGAAAACTATACTCAGTATATCATAGAATTACTAAAGTTGGAAAAGACCTCTAAGATCGAGTCCAGCCGTCAACCCATCACCACTGTGCCTGCTAAACCATGCCCTAAAATGCCACATCTACACACCTTTTGAACACCTCCAGGGATGGTGACTCCACCACTTCCCTGGGCAGCCTACTCCAATGCCTGACCACTCTTTACTGAAATTTTTCCTAATATCCAATCTAAACCTCCCCTGATGCAACCTGAGGCCACTGCCTCTCGTCCTGTATCAAATATATCAATGTATGAAAATACACAAAGTTATCACTGGTGCTAAAAGGTGGCAGGTATATATGAGATGTTGCCTCTTTGCCCTTCCCAGGTGGATGAGAATGGCAAGATCAGTCGTCTGCGCCGTGAGTGCCCCTCTGAGGAGTGCGGAGCAGGAGTCTTCATGGCTAGTCACTTCGATAGACACTATTGTGGCAAGTGCTGTCTGACATACTGCTTCAATAAGCCAGAAGACAAGTAAATGTACTAGATAATAAAAATCTGAAACTGTACAGAACTTCCTGTGGCACTGTATTTCCTCTCTGCTGATAAGCAAGAAAAATCTGTGAAACTTTGGATGGTGACTAAGATGAACTAGACCAACTAGGATGAAATACTTTAGAACTGAAGCAGCAACTTAGTGGCTTCGGTTAGTTAAGTCTCCTTCAAAGGAGATAATGGATAGTGATAGCAGAGAAAAAAAAACCCAACACTAGCTAACCTTAGAAGTGGTCTCTTTAAACATGTGAAGAGTACACAGTACAGTAGTTGTAATCCAGAAAAACAGGATATCAAGAGGTCCGAAGTGATGTCTACAAGTGGGTCAAATGCTAGAGAAAAGGGTAATAGAGTCCTGGTAACAAAATGCAGACTACATACTGAAAAAATGTGTAGCAGCACTGAGGGGGAGAAGGAAGATGGCTCAGCTATTTTGGAACCAACAGTCATCAGAAATAATGTATACTGTGATGGTTTTACACACTTCAAGTGTTTCCAGTTAATTGTTGTCGCTTATCCTGTGTTCCAAGGAGGTAAGCTGGTTGCTTGACAAGATTTAAAAGCAGAACATTGTTACATAAACATCAGATACACAGAAGCTCATGTTCATCTCTGAAAGTTCATTTAATGTTCAGAGGTGAAGGCCAGCCAGGAATAATACATGTCCTTGAGTGTTCATGTATTCAAATGTATTTTAAAATCCTGGATCCCAGGAAGTTGTCTGTTGAACTTCTTTTTCTTCATAGCAGATGATTTCATCTCCAATACTGAATTCTATATACTTGTCCAAACTCAATCCGCAATCCATACCCGTTTTTATTACCTGGACATCATCTTTATGATGCTTCAGTGATGATAAATACCCTACAAAGAGAAAGTGTGTCACAGAAAGAGACCACTGTAAAATCAAAGCATAGAAGTGTTCTGGTTTGCCCTTTCAGAGTTAATGTTTCACCTTGTAGCTACAAAATGAAAGCAAGAAAATAGGGATTGTGAGCACTTGCAGCTAACAAAAATCAGACATCAGTCCTTTTCAGCAGGTAAATCCTGTGATGCTACTGCTGTCCTACCAGAGTTGGTGGTTAGAAAAAGGGCGGGATAACAACAGTACAGTGACATTCTGCAGCTTTTCTCTAGTTGGAGCAACTCCATCCTAAATAGCATATGGGATTGCCCTACGACTGGCTGCGCCCATTTTGCACTCACTTCACAGGGAATTAGCAGTGCTAATACTGAATGCAAATACACGTTTTGTAGCAATTACACTTACCTGTCCAAATAATATCCCCATTACGGATTAACTTAAATTTCATTTTTTTGTCTAGCAGCCCCTTCTGTACTCGGCATCCAGCTACTGGAATTTTGTTTTTTCCTACTGTTACAGAGAAGGTGTTGAGAACAGAAGCTTCCCCTAAAAGAAAAAAGTACAAGTTGTATGAAGTACACAAGAATAACAAACTGACAGTAAGTAAAAGCAAGCTATGCTCTTCCACTCAACAAGCTTTGCAACAAAAGAGAAAAGGAGCTACAGAGGAATATGAAATATTTGATACACTAGGAATACGATAGGAGAACAAACCTCAGGCCACACGGTGAAGCAAAAATTTTAAGTCAATGAAAACTCACCTATTGTATTTTCCACCACAGATGGAGGTAGTCTGCTGTTTAGCTCATTTTTCAAGTCTTCAATAAGTTTGTAGATGATACTGTGAAGTTTAATTTTTATTCCCTTTTTAGCAGCCAGCTGTTCAATACTTGCATTGGCTTTCACACTGAATCCAAATACAACACCTGATAAAACAATCAGCAACTGATGACTACAAGAGATCACTCTTAGTAAGTGAAAGCATCTGCCATCTCTATTCTGTAATGTTGAACTAGCAGCACAGGTTAGAATTGGCAGTCAGCAATACAAGAAACAACCTTTTAGTACTACTTCCCTTTTAAGGAGGGACCATTTACTTCTGCTATTGCACATCAGCTGGCACTAGCCTTGTAGCAAACAAATGGCTCAAAAAAGCCCTCATGGAAAGCTCCCTGATGACAGAACTGTAGGTATTGAGGCAGAAACTAATGCTTACACACAGCTCACCAGAGCTCACGTTAAAGGACAAGAACCCCTGTTTCTGGGCTGGTAAAACAGTCTGGTTGTCCAGCTTAAGCTGGAAGTGAATTCTAAATCATTGTCATCCACCTGTGGACTACAGCAGGTCCAGTGACCCCACACCCTCTATAGCAGGTAAGAATTACAAACAGGAACAACTACTGGCACAGTCTTTCCAACGACCTCCCTGAACAAAAGGAAATTCTTTTGTACAGTGCTTTTCTGGCTTTGTGCTGCTTAAGCATCTTAAAGCAACCCAAGTGAAGAGTCAGAGTTTTAACAGTTCAACTACTGGCAACAGCTTGTCAGAGTACTTCCATTTTCATGAGATTTCCAGCCTTCCCCACCTGCACTACTGTTTAACGTTGAATGAAACATTTTTAAGATACGTGTAAGTTTACCTTATGATGCTGCTAATTGATAAAACAAGACTAGACCAAGACCTACCCATCACAATAGTTTGTACTAATTGCAAACTGATTTTTAAACATACACTTACCATTAAATGCTTCAGCAAGACTTAGATCTGTTTCACTGATATCTCCCATTCCAAAATGTATTACATCCAATTTACATTCATCGTCAGCATCATAGCTGTCCAGAATGTTCAGAATTGCTTCAACAGATCCATCCACGTCACCTGCGCGTGTAAGTGGAAGTACTGCTGACTTTGTATACATCAAAGAAACACTGAAGTAGAACTAAGGGAATGACAGCTCCACACAATGCAATATGAAGTCTTTTGACATCTATCATTCTTACTGTATTTTCAGTAGTATGTTAAAACACATCTAACAAGTCTATTAATTCCAAAAATGAACTGAAATACTGAAATGACATCTGCTGTCATTTTCAGGTCAAGTTTGCATTCAGCTACTACCATCATGCTTGTGTATCACCAAATGTGAGGTCAAACCAAGTTCCTCCTGTCCCACTTCAATTGTTCTTGTCCTCCATTTTGCTGATGCAGTACTGCCGCTCATACAGCTTGGGGTTTTGTTTTGTTTTAAATTTACATACATATACAGGCGCTTCTATGGGTTTTACTCAGGGGTTCCTGGGTAACAGGGCTGCTGTTGCTCTGGCCCTGCTGGAAGCGCATCCTCCGGACCACTGGTTGTTTTCTGATGCCTTTCCCCTTACTAACAGAAGTTCAATCATCTGTTCAGTTTTAAACCGATCAAACTTCTGCTAACAAAAATTTTGTTAATAGTTTAGGGCTATGCTACAGACTGAGCACTTGAGAACACAAAAACAACAGAGCAGTAAACAGAACGGGACAGCACCTTTAACAATTATCGACAGCACATTTTTGTCCATCTCTGTTCTCTCTTTAGGCTTTGAAAATATTAGATGCTTATTGGCCTTGTACAGCACCGCCTTCCTCTGTCTCCAGGTCAGATGGGCTAGCTTCTGTTGCTTCTTCTCATATTCCACCCTGTGTTCCTTTTGCTTTGCTTCAATAACTTCCACATCCCTTTTCATCCTCTCCTGTTGTTCAACATAGGTTCTCCAAGCCACAACTTCATGCGCCCTTTGCTGGGCAGGAAGAGACAGAAACATTATTACCCTTCGAAGCATTGCACCGGAAAACTCCACATTAATGCAGTTTCATCCTTTTGCATCTTCTCTACAGGCTCACTCATTCTCTTTCACATTTAACAACAGATTTCACTGCAAGGATGGCAGAGAACGAGCACAATAGCTGCCTCCCTAGGCTACAACAACATGACCTGAGGCCGATTTATATGATATCTCTGCATTGCACATTCTTTCATGTGGCATTTGTCCAGCTCTCAACAACTATTTCAAGCTATATTTTATGTGTATTATTTTGTCAGAAACTAGTTCTCTCATTCTAAAATTAAAACACTGATACCATTAAGTACTGGATTGTTCTCCACGTAGGGCGATAGTGTGATCATACAAAAGAGACAAGTCTTCTCTGCCTTTAGACAGGGAGCACTTTAGAGCATACCCCATATTACCCCAGCAGAAGCCATTCAAGACTGCAGTCACTGCAAACGAAGCATAGAAGAAGGCAGGATGACCACGAGAAGCAAAAGCATGAACCAAAGGTGACTCATCTGTAATCCCAGCGACAGCATGCTCTCTTCATCTGATTGTAAAGCAGGTTAGTCTGGATGCATGGAGATGAGAGGACAGTCCGGCAGTGGAGAGGTGTGAGCAGCAAAGAAAGAGGCAATACGCAAATCCTCATTTCTTTTACAAAGCACCTAGCTCAGGTCTCTTAACATCCATGCTCGGCCTTCGTCTTTCATTAGATTATCCCGGTTATTTAGAATGAAAGCTATCACTTGTTTTTTACTCAGCTCCTTCCCATCCACCTTACTGCAGTATAACTTTTCCATTAAACAGTTCTTTCTGTACCTCAGATTCTACTTCAAGGATTTCATCTCCCGCTGAAGGGACTTCCTTCCAGCCCATGATTTCCACCGGGATGCCTGGAGAGGCTGCATCCACAGCTTTGCCATTCTCATCAAACATGAAACGCACTTTTGCCCAGGTCTTCCCTGCAACCAGAACACAGCCTTTTCTCAAAGTTCCTCTTTGGATGATGGCAGTGGTAACTGGACTAGTGAAGAGCAGGAGAAAAATAACAGACAAAATTCAAGTGACTCTTCTCCCCATTTGCATTGTTAGCATAAGTAAGCAAACACAAAACGGATCAATCATAGACAGAATATTCCTGTGACACATTTTATTAGAGCGCTAATAACTTTTTAAAGTGACTTGCAAAAAGCTCAAAGCTTGTACTGTACTCTTTTGATTTCTGCAGATCAATACAAGATTTGGCATTTGTGAAATCAGCAACCGGCTGATTTTACACATTGACTCCCCACCACAAAAACAAAAACCTAAACCTGAACAACTTTCTAGAATTCAGTTCATTTTTAAAGAGGGCAGAACACACCTTATTTACAGACAACCTGCAAAAGGACTGAAACATTTTAAAGAGTAAAGTGTCATGTTACACACAATTAACGAAAAATTGTATATGTATTCTGACTGTTAACTTCATCATTCCTACTTTTTAATGACATTTTAAAAAATACATCTGTTCTAGCATTTTAAAGTATTTCCTGTGCTTAGAGGATTTTATTTCAGTGATATGATTAATTTTGCCCTATTAGTTTATCCTTTTTTTCTGGCTCTCATGCTGTAGTATAACATTTCAATGGTTTAGTTACAAACACTGCAAAGAAATTGTTACAGTTTCATTTAACAACAACAAAAAGTTCAACGTTTAACATAAATACTGAGGTACAAACTACCTGAACAGTATCTCTGCATTGTTACGAATTACATCTTTAAAACTGTAAAGGCGGCAGATTAGCAACCTGGTCTAGTTGCACATGTCCCTGCTCACTGCAGGGGGGCTGGGCTAGATGGCCTCTAAAGGTGTCTTCCAACCCAAAGCGTTCTATGTTTCTATGAGATTACTTACCCTTTCCCTTTGTCTTTGCGAGACTCAATTACGCTCCCCTCTACCAGACCTGTGGCATCTGCCTTCAGTTCTAACATCTCTGCTAAAGCAACAGTTGCTTCTGCTAAAACCATCAGGTTTTCACCCTGTATAAAACCATACACACATACAAAAAAAAGGAACAAAGCAAGTGCCCAGTTAAAGTTAAGATCAGAAGTTGAAATATTAGTGCCAAATTCCCCCATTTAATCAAGAACTTCTAACAATACAATACAGTCCAACAGCACAGATCCCTTTGCTTTCAAAACAAGATAGCACTGAAGTAATGAACTGACAAGACTGCTGCACAGCCAGCCCTGAATGCACAAAATATTGAGAAGGACAGCTTCCTTCTTCTCTGTTCACAGCATCTGGGTTAAGGATGCAGGAAATGACCTTGCATTATTCTGTTACAAGTATTGTAGGAATGCAAATTAAACAGACAAACACCTAAACAGCCAAATTAAAACTTGATGACATCTACCACCCAGTCAGGAGTCCAGGACATCAAAGACACAAAACTCTTGGTCTGTTTTCTTTTTTTTCCTTTGTTCTAATTACATTCTATTTTTGAGAACAGATACACCAAGCGAGCTGTCAGTCAGCAGATCCAGATCTACAGGAATTAGGACAACCATGTGTGCTACAGAGGTGAATGGAGAAGCCATTTTTATGTATGCCTATTTTAAAGTGTAAGGCATGACTTCAAAAGGTCTTGAGCTTGCCTCAAATTTTAGAGTATTACTTGGGATGCATTAAGAAAGATAGCAATAAGGCTAAGATACTGCTGCATCATTTTGGACAAAGCTGCTTTGGCCACCACAAAACTAAAGTTCAGCTTTTAGTTCAGGTTCTGCCTAGCAGTTATTTGCAAGGATAACATGGTACATCTTGTGAGACCCCAACAAAACTATGCTCCTGCGGTTAGCCATGTGTTAGGAAAATATTTATTTACACTCATTTGAACTTCCCTCTTCATGCATAGCATTATCACCAACCTTGACTTTGCACCAATTTCATACAATGAGTAAATATATGAAGAAACAACAATTAGGATGAACCTGAAAAATATCCACTAAATTCCGGAAGAAAAATGAGATATTACTGCTCACTGAAGGTCTGAGCCTTCAGCTATGACAGCATTATGTTTCAAATAATTTTGGTGAGAGCTAGCAGCACTTAGCTCATGGTAAGGTGTCAAATACCAGGAAGATAAGCACTTGTTTTCCAGCTGCCAAATAAAAATGCAGCTGTGTGCACATACTAGACACCTATGAACACTGTCATTTTTTCCACCAAAACTTTACCTTGAGTGCAGAAATATTTACAGCTTGAACATCACCTCCAAACTCTTCACAGACCACATCATGAGCCAGCAATTCCTTCTTTACTCTTTCAGGATCAGCTTCAGGTTTGTCACATTTATTAATGGCGAGGATAAGAGGAACTAAAACGAGAACAAAAAAACCTCATTATCAAGCTAACCAAAACTTGCTGCTACTAGCACAATTGCAATAAAAAGTTAGAATAGGTTACGACCACTTAGAACAAATGATCTCACATTCTGTCTGTTGAGCATCCATTGAGATCTGAGCTACCACGAGTAAGCTGGAGGAGTTATCCTAGTAGGGAAGGGGAAAAAAGAACCCAACAATAAAACCCCCCCACACACTCCCTGAGTGCTTTTCTTGCAAACCTGCAAGTCTTGCAAAAAATATTAGTATTTTAATATATTTATGTATTACTGCAACATTCAGTATATTTTCAAACACCTTCCCATGGGAGAAGGAATGGGACTACATCAGTTACTTCCCAAGTTCTGAGGATTCCAGGTCAAGGAGTTTCCTTTGAGAGGGAAATAAACATTTGCAAAGCACTCCTTATTTGAACTGCACAGTAACACACACCTTGTATATTAACTTTGTGTACTGGGCTTGCTACTCACTTCAGAACGTAGTATTAACAAGTTAAACACGGTACCACCGTACCTCCTGCATTTTTAGCATGTTGAATGGATTCTATAGTTTGCTGCATTACTCCGTCTTCTGCTGCTACAACCAGTATGACAATGTCAGTAATGTGGGTACCTCTCGCTCGCATGGCTGAAAAAGCTGCATGTCCAGGAGTATCAAGAAAAGTTATCTTTTCCCCAGAAGGCAAATGCACTGTGAACAAATGGATACCGTACATTTTAAAAGCAGAATTTCACATAGTTTTATTTGACCTACTGCAAATCAAGCATCACTCCTTTAAGAACTTTTTTTATAATAATGACATATTTTAGGCAGACAGGTAACTGTTGGCATAGAGGTGAAAGGTGCTTTTAACTCCTCAAGAAAGAAAAAGTGTCCTGGGGTCTTTCATAATCCAAGTTAGTCTAAATATAATTCCAACTGCACAGACACTTCAATATAATTCCAACTGCACAGATACTTCAAAGTTCCATCTGCACAGTTATGACAGTTATCACGTTATTATTTCCTCTTTCACTGCTCATGTATAAACTGTTTATGTCACTACATTTTTCCCCAATAAACTGGCCGCAAGTCAGCCCATTATGCAAGAAAAAGAGTAAGCTGTTTAATACACATGCATGTACATTTGAATCATACCAAGAAAAGCACCAATGTGTTGTGTAATGCCTCCTGCTTCCATTGATGCCACCTGAGTTTTTCGCAGACTGTCAAGTAAGGTTGTTTTCCCATGATCAACGTGGCCCAATATAGTTACAACTGGGGGCCGCGGGGTTAGTACTGCTGGGTCTGCAGGAGGCCTACAGTTAAAACAAGAACGTATTTTGTAAATACTGAAAAAGTTCAATGAGTGATGTGCATGCCCACTATGGCTAACAAAAACCCATTTACCAGAACTCTGTAACGAACAGGTGAGGCTCGCTTCTCCCCACTGTGATCACAAATCCTAGCTACACCACGCAGTTAGCCCTCTTAGTACTCAGTCTCACTGCTGCATCAGTTCATACAGCAATTCAGTATATCAAAAGAAGAATTGGCTTTTCTTCAGAAAACAGCATAGAAAAAGCTCACCTAAAAAAATCAAACCCGAGCATCAGTTTTATGGCCAAAGAAATCAAAATAGTAAACTTTACCCTCTAGATATTATCAGATTGTGACTATATCAGGTATTACCAAAATAACATCAGAACAAAGAAAATACGATGTATGAAGAACATTTGCAGAAACAAATAGGATAAAAAAAGCTAAAAAGAACAGTTCCCAGCTTACCTTTTCACGGCATCTGTGTTTTCTCTTTCTTTTTCCTCTTTCAGTTTTGCTGATTTATACTTCATTCCTGATTTTTTAACAATTAGCTTGATATGATCTTCATATAAGATGGAATCTGGTTCTAGTGAATCAAGGTCAATGTCTGTGTATAGCAGTGCTTCATAAATATGATCTGAAGGAAAGATAAAGGCATTTAACAATTACATCCACAAAACCATATGGGACAAAGAAAACCCCACTTCATACAGTTTAAGACTTTTTCATTAGTAGTTTATATCAAGCTAGTAAGTTTTATTTACAAAGCATTTTTCCTTTAGTTAGATTTATCTAAAAGTTTGTGTTACACTACATACTTGCAAAGAACTTGGCTCAGAAAGATTTACTGAAAATGACTGCCTCATTAGATGCTACAACCTTATTTCTCACTCAGGTTTTCATAACCTACTTCCCCATTAAGCCCTAAGAACAAAACAACCGAAACTCTATCTAAACCAAATAGTTAAGAAGTGATTCAAGGATGGAGGGAGGAAATTTGATAAATCTGTTCACACGCCACTTTCTTTGGCAGTAGAAATACAGAACACACTGCATTAGTCAAAAATTGCTACATGTTGACCCAAATATCATTACAAATCTATCTCAGAAATGCACAGCAAGACATGACAGACTTTTCTGCTTCTCTCTCTCACTGCTGAGAAGGAAGTTTCCCAGAGAAAGCACCCAGATGGATAAAAAGAGATTGGGGATTGGTACAGAATTATCTCAAATGTCAAGTCAAAACTTGTTAATAATCCCCCTAAAACAACACTGAAAACTAGTCAAGCTACGCCACTATGGTTCATGGGATTAAAAGACCAAGCCTGCTTCCGTAACCCAGTTGTCAGGGGCAGTCACCTAAGAGGGGAGTGTTTCCTGACAAGTCCTGCCTGCTCCCAGTAAATCAAATAACTGTTTTAATGAAACACATACTGCTCCTGATCCCAAGATTCCTGTTCCCAGGTGAGTATCTAAGGGTTGGATTACAGCTGAAGCGCTTTTGTGCTTTCTCTCTTTAGCTATGAATTATTTACCCACAGTGATCCAGCTTTGACAAACCAGGGTGCAATGTTTTTCCTTCCAGAATAATTTAGCACTTGGGGAACACAGTCATAAAGAGCAGCCTACATGGATCTGAAGCCTTTTGGCCCGAGATGGAAGAGAGTCCTGGCTTCTTTACATTGAAGTGTTTTGCCTGGTAACCCAACTTCCTTTCTCTTTAATCTGCCATTGCATCTACCAATGTTTTCTTTGGTATGGGTGCAATCTACCGTGCTACAGGAGCGATTAGCAACCACTAATAATGCCACTGTAGACATCTTTGGCTTTACCACTCACGACAGTGGCATGACAGAGTTTAACTGTTGCATTTCATTCAGTCTCAAAAAACAGTGCAAGCTCTCACCTATGTCTTTACCCATAGCTCGTGCAAGTTCCTCGACAGTCATCTTCTGCCTTATCTCTACTTCCCCTTTTGTCAGTGGTATCTTCTTTCTTTTCTTTTTCGTCTCCTACATGGAATTAGACATGTATATAGGAACACATAGCTGGCATAAACTAAGAAATAATAAAAACAATGTTAAAAAGACAATGGTCTCAAGCCATATGTTGTAAACATATCTTTTTGGCTACAATACTAATGAATTACAATAAATGAATGACTTAACACATCACACTGAATATGCAAAATGTATAGCACACTGCACTTAATCTTTTTTAACTGTTCAAAACAAGGAAAAAAAGACAAGAAAATAATTTCTATTTTTGTTTGTAGTCATTTCGTCCTGCTTCTGCAAGGTTCACAATGCTGCTGGTATAAGCACTTTCGGTCAATATCTGAGAGCGAGTCACAGTACGGTCATACACTAAGTACATTTTGTCTTATAACAACTTCTCTATATTCATTAATAAAGCTCTTTTTTTTGTCATTAAAATGCTCAGACTGAGCTCTGGTACTTTGAAATGTCACATAAAAACAGAGATTACTGGATTTTGTTAATTACCTCCTTTGTAGCTAGATGTCTGCATTGCGGTAAGGCAACACTGATTAATCTGTCTTTTTGCCAGAACTGCGGATACAGAAGAACGGACCACACAGGATGTGCAGATGACTGCACAGGCTTCCATTGTGCTCTGTTAACTTTTCTGTAGGAGGGAGTACACAGCTGTCTGCAAGCACCACGTAAATGGACCAGATTTTCAAACTTTAGTATCAACCCTCGATTCATTTCCTCACTGAAAATACAAAGGACGTGTTGAATCAGACTCAAAGGAGAAAGATACTCTTTCCTATGACAATACAGACAGGAACAAGGGGCATACGTGTTATGTTTCAAAACAGGCTTTTAAATGCTGAGAAAGTTAAACTATTTGGTAACTGTTCCGGTTTTTTGGTTTCTTTAAGTGCTTCACCTTTCTCCGCTATCCCATTGCAGACACACAGCTCTACTAATATCGCCACAGCTTACAAATCTCTTGCCTATCTCTGCTGATCTTTAATATGAATTACTAAAATCCCCACTTCAGGTTCTTTGACATTGCCTAGGCAAAAAGGGACATTTGCAAAACGCCGCTCACATGAGCATATACCACCATGAAAAGACTGTATCACTGTAGTAATACCAGCGCTGTCACGTGGACAGAGTAGTCCTTTGAGGTTAAGACCTGGCTTAGCAATTAAGCTTTCCAAGACACTTCTGTCAGATCATCCCACATCTCGTTTTAAGCATCTTAACTTTGTTTTCAGTCATTTTGCTAACTACTCTGTACAACAGTCTCCTATCCAAACTTCTCTTCTGGCTCAGAGTTGCCTATTTTGTCCTTCTGCTCAATAACCCCATTCTCTGTACCTTCTTTATCTCCTCTCAAAGGTGGCTTTGTACCATCCCTTCTCAAGCGGCTCCAAATGAGTGAAATGCCCTCAGTTCCTCTCAGAATTCCTGCGGTCCCTTTAAAAACTCTCTTGTATCCGGATGCCTGCAGGAAGGGAGAAGATGACAAACCAACCAACCGAAACCAACGACTCGAAGGACCCCACCCCCCCAAGAGAACTTTACAGGGCCAGAAGCGGTAAAACCGAGGAACCCTCAGCAGCTGCCAGAAGACGCTGCACACGCTGAAAACAAACAGAAGGCCAAGGCGAGGCTGGACAAGCTCCCAGAGGAGAGACCCACGCGAGGTTGCTAACTGCAAAGAAACCGCTCCCGGCTCTCGGGGCCCAATGGCCGGGACAGGCGCACCCGTCCAGCTCGCACCGCTCTCAGGCCGCTCGCTTGGGCTAGCGCTGCAGAGAAGCCACCCCGCTCCACAAGCTCTTCGCCTAACACACGGCGTCCAACGCCGGGGCCTCAAAACCAGCCTCACCCTGCTGCGAGCGG